TCTTTATCACTGGCATGCTGCTTTACATTGTTTGTATTCCCTCTATTTATGTTTTTTTTTCTTTTTACTATCTCTTCCCTCCTTTCTCCTCTTTCTCTCTCTCTCCCTCTCTCTAGTTCCTTTCTTTTTTTTTGTCATCGTGACCTATAACCACTTGAAACGAGATTTCTTATAAAATTCTTTCCGGAAACATAGCAAAAGATAGTAGTTCTTCTTCCTTGTGTGCTACAACTGAGTCAGCAGAACCTTGCATTGTCATCCAGTTGAACACTTGACCTAATACGTCTGTGTCGGATACAAATCTTTTGGATCTATGCAGGCAGCGAACACGTTGTGTACCCATCTGCCAAGCTGATCTGTGAGAATTTAATTCTGATTGTTCCAATAACAGGGATCCATCCCTTGACTTCGATAATGCCTTTGCATATTTTTCCCAATATCCGAAGCAGAGATCATTCAACGATTTTTCATTATAAATAGACGAGAAGACAAAGTCATCCCAGCATTGGCACGAACATATACGTTTTAACAGTGTAAAATATAGATGATTAAGGTTCGTGCGCTACCTCTCAGTGAATAAGGGATAAATTCCGAACAACCACGTAAAGTAAGGTAGTACAAAGGCAGAAAACAGAATTCTTCGAAGTTGAGTTGATGATGTACTATTAATTCTGAACAAATTTACTAATGCGGTTTTCTGGCGTACCTTTACTCGAGTTTTACCGATGACATTTCTCCACCCAAGCCTAGTTGTTAACCAGTGTCTTAAATATTTGAACGAGGAAGTCCATTCAATCGTATTATCTTCATATCTAACTTGTGGCATTGGGTTCGGATAACAAACAGCACGCGCCGAGAACATAATTTGTGTTTTAGAGTAATTAATAGGTTGCACCGCTAATATCGAGTAGAATTCCAGTTGTTCGAAGAACTTTTGTAGTCTTCGTTCCAGATCAACACATTGTTCTGTAATATTGTATTCTATTATTGTATGAGTACTATCATCTATGAATAGATGCAATCGTTCATTTGTTTTCTCTTTTCTATTCTACAATTGTATTTCCATAAAAAAGTGTTTCTCATCAATGAGCGAATATTTACATCGAGGTTTAAAGTTTCTTAACTTATAATGACTGAGATATTAAAATTTAAAAAAATAGCTTGATTGTCATGTTTAGGAACACTGACCGAAAAGAAAAATTCCTAATAAGAATAGACTATGTAAAATGCATAAAAAAATAAATAATTTTCGTAGATAAACTTTTTTCCTATATAAAGTCGAAAATTAATTTGTGCTTCTTTAAGAAAAGTGCTGACTAAGAAGTAGTTGATTAAATTTCAGTAGTTTGAGACAAAAGAAGTTTTCATTTTTGAACAATGACATCAAAAATAAATCATGATACCTATGTTGGAATAGTAAAATATTTTCATCTTGTCAAAAATCTGTTTGCATTCATTATGAATATGAATACTGACGGAGCATTGCATTGAGTGCTTCTTCACACTATCCAAAATAACGCATGTGTCTGAAAATTTCGACATTTTGGGTATAATCAACATGTTTGAGAACATTTTAAAAGAAAAGAAATGAGAAAAATAGAAAAAAAGAAGTGATCTTATTTATATATATTTACTAATTATTTCATAATTTTAATATAAATGATATTAAAATAATTAGTATATTATGTTGGTTAATTGATTGACTTATGAACTGGTTTTATGATAATGAAGTATTTCTTTTTGCTTATAGATTTCCAGTGATAGAGTAAGAAATTTTTCTTTCAAAAGTTCATATTCAGAAAATTAATATCCTATAATGATTTCAATGCTCATAAGAAAAAAAAAACTTTCGAACATAGAAAGAAACTTGACCATGTTATTATTTGTGAATGGATATAAAAATAAAAAGTTTTTTCAATGAAAGATCATAATATTGTTGTCTTCTGCCTTGTTAATAATGAAATTCACATACTTAAATTTATTTTGACTATAAATATGATTTTTCTTACGACATACATATATACTCCAATAAATAAAAAGAAAAACAAGATGTATCAAATAATCGTAAGAATTTGTTCAATTTTCTCATTCTTGGCTAAATCAAATCTTACTTCGATGAATTGTTAGTTGTAATCATTTTCTTCAATCAACATTTTATCTAACATAGGATTGTTTGTGATAGTTCAAAAAAATTGCTCATGAAATATATCTACTATTGTATAATCACATTAGTAATAAAATATTTGGCATAACATAAGTTTCAAAATCTTTTCATTGATTCTAAATTACAATCGAATTCTCACGTTTTTTTAATTTTATGGTGATTTCATAATTTATTTTTGATGTCATTGATCAAAAAACGAAAAATTCTTATTTCCTCAAACCACTGAAATTCAACCAATCACTTTTCAAGGAACATTTTTTTGACTAACTATTCTTATAAAAACGTCTTAGAAAAAAAGGAAATTCTTGAAATGCTTGAAAATCTATTCGAATTAGGAACATGTGCTGTAACTATCTGTCGTTTAATTCTTTTCCTTTGCATATTACGAATATCGATTTGTATCGATTACTTTTCTTTTCTTCAAAAATTGAATTTTTTAATGTTTTTTCTTTATTTGATTAGCTAGTTGGAAACTAGGAATATATACCTGAACTCTTTTTCATTCTTTATATACCGTTGACGTTCTGCAATTAACACAGCAACGCTATGTAATAAAAGTCCTTCTAACTTTATGTTATTTTCTTATGGATTTAATTTAAGTCCTCTACATTACGATTTTACATACAATTCTTTTGTTATGGTTTTCATGCTATATTGATCAAGAGAAAATAGTAAAATGGAACAAAGAATTTTTGATACATAGTTTCTCCTTGTATTGACCTTTTTCACATTGTCTTAAAGAAGTTTTAAATGAAAAAAACATTATATTAACTTTGGCGTCTAAGACTATTCGCATATATGACCAGACTAGAGTGCGTGATGACCGGACCTAAACCGAATTAAAGTACAATTTTCCAAGCCCAACCCGACCCAGCTTGAGATCCGACTTGAACGGAGTCGTACACTGATGATCTCTCGTTCGGACTGAAAGAAGTCATAAAAAAAGCTTCATCATCGAACAATAACATGTAAATTTAATTCCTAAGACCTTGATCAGAATTGAAAATGACATCAATAATATGCTTATATAGTTAGATTTCAATTGAAACCACTCCCGAACGGCTCCAAATTTTCAAGTTGAATTACATTTTATTCGATTTTAAACATAAAAAGTTATAAAAATAGAAAAGAGCAGTAGATCGTCCTTTTAACACTTCTCTTCTTTTTTGGTTAAATCTAAACAGTGTCTAACACATAAACGACAGAAAGTTCCAAACTATTTAAACATTTGTACAAAAATCAAGGACATCCAAGTTTCAATTTCAAAAATAATATCCAAACTAAAATATTAAGTTCAATAAAAATCTCATCAAAAGACTTTGTTCCTAACTTCTAAATGCACTCTGGATTGATTGTAACCGTATTTAGTTTCGACATTGATTGCATTCCAATTAATAATTGTTCTCGAGTCCATCGATGAATTTTTTCTTGAACATGTCGACTTTGTGGTGACCACAAATCAAATAAAGCATATGTATGCATCAATCCTTCACCTTCATCTAATATTACTTCGACACCTGCAGATCTCATCTTTTCAGTCATATCACGAATTGCATCAATTGATATTTCATTTGTACCAGCGGTTATATATAATGGTGGAAATCCTTCAAATGAATCATCTTTTGGACTTATTTTACTTAGTTCTTCATCAGTCAACGTAAACCAATATCTACCTTTACTAATGGCTAAGTTTCTTAAATTATTTGCAAGTCTAAATGATAAATAATGATCTGTAGAGAATCTAACATTATTATCCAAATATTTAAGATTAGGCCATGGAGAATGTAAAACAACACCTTGTGGAACAGGTTTATTATTTGATATAATCCATTGTAAAAGATATATCCAAAGCATTCCACCTGATGA